AAGAGGAACGCGTATTAATTTGTATTTATTTATATATAAGTTTTATGCCGTTAAAACATTACGTTAACGTACGCCGCGCCGAACAAAGAGCAGACTTGGCAGGCGGACGTATCTGCATGGGAGTCGCACTCTCGCGAGCTCGTCATCTTCCTCTATCAAATCCTACCGGGGTCGGGTTCGCGAAAGCTCCTTTTCGACGGATCAGACCTCATTAACGCCACTTTCGTCAAGGGCGAGTAGTCGCAAGTACGACGCGTGTCTCGTTAGAGATAGCGCTAAAAACTCTGAAATCTGCGACAGTCGTACGCGCGAAAATTCGGGAATCTGGGAAAGGGTCGCGATCGACTGTATTTTTGCGATCCGAACGCGAAGCTCTCTTTTCTTCCGAGGAAAAGCGAGATAAAGAGAGATAGATAGATAGAGAAGAGGAGAGAAGGAATTACGATATCGTTCGACGAGAGCGCAACTCCGTGGACCCATTCAGAAAATCCGGCGCGCAGTCGGAATTAGATCGTCGTTAGGACTTCTTTTTCGCGTTATACGTTTTTTTTGTTCTCCCTTTGTTTAAATAATATATATCCACGAACAAGGCACTGCTCGACACAAAATTTCGCCGGATCCTTCGTTCTAACGCACCAGCGGGCGAAAGAAATTGTCGCGCCATCGAGCTTCCAGCGACCACGTTTCGGATCGCTTCGTCTTTTCCTTGAAAACGTCGAGTAAAAAATGGTCGGGGGTGCACTTTAGAATATTTCCGTAGGAGCTCTCGCGCGTTCCGGCTCATTCGTTGCGTCGAAAGGGTCCGGTGTTTAGGCTCTAAGCGGGATAGTCGCGTTCAACTTCTTCGTTTCTTTATGAAGATCGCTTTTCCGAATCATTCTCCTTCGGTCTTTCGGCATTTCTCCTCGTCTTCCGAAAAAAATCGCATAGTCGACGTTGGCGTTCTTACTTTCGAAAGGATGTCGTTCTGCAATGATCAATGAAGCAGTAATAATGTCCCGATTTTTCAAGAATACAGCGACAGCCTGATTACTTTGCATCACGCAGAGCAGCGAAATAATGGCGTGTTCTTGATACGCGTTTGGCATAAAGTTTTGCCTTTACGCGCATTTATTCCCTAACATTCCCTTCGCGTCTGTCGAATCTATTAATATTGCTGAAATGTACGCGAAAACCAGACCAGAGAGATTCGAATGCAGGGGGTGATATTATTCTTGACAGCTGCCATTGTATTACACTCGCATGAAATAGAATCAAACGAAACCGTTCTATCTCCATTGTGTATGCGATTAATTTCGATTAATTAATAACTAAAAGCGACAGAGTTCACCGAGAGTCGTTACTTCGAGTCGTGCGCCACGTCGAAGAGAGTGTTCGTATAACATCCACCGCGGCACTTCCTCTGTTCGTTCGTTCGTTCGTTCGTTCAATCTCAGAAGCAACTCAAGAGAATACCGCGCTCGTGCCGAAAGAGGACGGATGTAGGACGCAATTATTACCGTGAATCCCTTGATCAGTTTAACCCTTTCAGTACCTCCATGTTTCATATCAATGATTGCTTTTTTCCGGATGTTTTCCACAAGAACATTTTATTTCTCTCGACAAGATGCGCCGCTTTCAACAAATCTCTATTATTTGAAGCTACAATTGACGACAATATGAGGTTTTGTTTGCCGCTTAAATGAAACGTTGAGAAACGCGTAAGTCGAGCAGCCGTGCGTTCAGTTACTCGCACGTGAACATAGTACTGAAAAGATCAACGCGACACGCAACATCTGCATCCGCTCTCTTCAGGCATGAACGAGGCTCGACACCGTCGCGGAGAGAATCTCGCCCACGGGCAGATCGACGTGCGTTATAAAGGGAAGCACTTGGTCCGTTTCTGAGCAACGACCGACCGGCAGTCGACCTTAGAACCGAGGGTGAAATTCTCCGGCTTGACGGTCTCCTCGACGGAGATTTTGCCGAGTCGCTTCTTAACGCGGAACGGCGTCGACCGTGGCGATATAATCTCATAGAGATCGCTGGTCCGTCCCTGAACGTCTTCTCCCTTGTTGGGGCTGTTGATCTTCTGATCGATGGGAATGGCGATGTCCACTTCGGCGCAGTGATTCTGACTGGGCTTCTTCTCTGGCGGTTCTCTCTCTGGCGCTTCTATCTCTAGCAGTTCTTCCTCTGGCTCTTCCTCCGGTTCCCTCTCCGACTCCTTCGCCACGTCTTCCTTCTGATTCGTTTCCTCGGACGGTGAATTGAAGACGTCCGAGGAGTAGCTCTTGGAGTCGTACATTAGTTCCAGATCGGGATAATCGTCGGCCTCGGACGGCAGGTTCCTCGTAGAGGCCAAGGAGATTGCTCTAGCCTCCGGCTTCTGGGGTTTCTCTTCGTCGGCGTAGTCTAACGACAGGCACCTCTTTTCGAACAGAGCCGGCCCGTGTGATTTGTAATCGCTGGTCGCTTTGGTCTCGCTCGATTGACTCCCTTTGTCCTCTTGCTCTTTGCGATTCGACGTGACTTTGCCCTCCTCCGTGGTCTCCAGCGAATTAATCATTCTCGACGGACGGCGTACGCTGTTCTCGCGCTCTACGGACAGACAAAACTCCTTATCCGTTAGCAGAATGCGCTTCGGCATTCGCATCGGTTTCTGCTCGAGGTCCAAGTCGATCTTCTCCCAGGACGGAGTCTTCAACAAGCTCTTCACCTTGCGCAACTCCGTTAGCAAGTCCATAGTTTCCTGCGACGGTTCGTGGAAGATCCGCCTCTTCGGCCGTCTGATGGACGCGTTAGTGTCTGCCTCTTGATCATTGGGCTGATCGATTCTTTCTTGCTTCCTCAGAACGGATCTAACCGTGCCTTCTTGACTCGGATCTCGCTTTACCTCGGCCAGTTCGTTCTCCTTTGCGTCAGCCGCTGCAGCGTTTTCCGTCTTAGGCCCTTCGTTCTTCGAAATTCCAACCTCGAATCCAACCTCGAATCCTCCCGGTAACAGATTTATCTTCATCCTCTCATGGTGACTTAACACGCCCTGAGCAGCCAGTGTGCGTCGTTTGAAAGCCGCGTAACTCTCCGTAGGTATCTCCTGCAGCTTGAACTTGTCCTGCAGTTGCTTGAAGGACTCTCGCGTATACTCCTGGATACCACGACGAGTCGCTAACGAGTCTTCCGATGAAATCTCCCTCGTTCTTCCAACGTCGTCAGTTATAGTCCGTGAGGCAGTGACGAATGAGAGGGCGTCTTTTGCCAGCAGATTGTCCGACGAGATGCCTCGCCTTTCAAATTGAGTGTACTTGATCGATTTCCTCGTGTATTCGACCTTCCTCATATCCTCGACAATCAGTCTCCTGGTCTTCGTTGGAGAGAACAGTTCTTTCTCCAAAGTGCCGCCCCTAGACTCGATCTCGCGATCGGGTGAGACGCTCGAGATCGGCCTCTTGGTGGGTGAATTCGGCGTGCTGTTGTCGCTGCGAAAGACCTCGCGGGAACTCCGTAGGATTCTGCGACGGACTGGCGTGATCGATTCCTTCTTCGCTCTGCGCGGCGAGTTGTTCCAACTGTTGGCCTCGCCCGGCGATTCCAGACAAGTGGAGGATATGATCTCTTCGCTGGTGGTCACTCGGCACTTCAGCAACTCGACCACATCACTCGGTCGTTGGTTATCCACTTCTGTCCTCGACTCGCGCTCGTCGCTGTTCTCCGTCGGCAACGAGCTCGGGCCGGAGTCCAACACGTCGTCAAGGGACGAACCGCGTAGCGTGTCGCGGTGTACTTTCGGCGGAACCGTAGACTCCAAATCTTCGGTCTCGAACGAGTACATCTTCAGCAGGAACTCTTTACCCGATCGCCGTCTCTCGCACATCGCCCACGTTTGCGGAGTCATCGAAGATTTGCGTTGTACCTCTTCTACAGGTGACATTTTATGGACCTCTTTGCACTCGACGTTTTCTTCGATAACGACTTGTTCGATCTTGTGCCTGACCTCGTTAATCGTTATCTCGTCTTTCTTGATTACGTCGTTCGCCGTTATCTCGACGTTCTCAATCGTGACATTCGTACTCGTCTCGCGGTCGACTTCGTTCTTGCGCTCGGTATGTGGAGTATTGAAAGTGAATTTGTCCAGGGTCTTGGACGAACCGATCTTGTCCAGAAATGGTCTCTCCACAGCTTTGCTGGGTCCAATTTTCTCTAGATAAGGCTTGCTCTTGATCCTCGGCGTCAACTTTGCCAGGAACGGTCGGTCCTCCGTCTTCGAGATACCAATCTTCCTTAAGAACGGCCTCTTCTTCTTCTCTTTATCCTTGTCTCTCGAGACCTCAGACGAGCGATCACTCAACCGGTCGTTGCTGTAGTTCGACGAGTTATCGCTGCTCTTGGAGCGAGCCCTCTTGTTACGCGAATACGGCGTAAGCGGTGTCCTGGGCGTCCGCGGGGTGAGAGACGGACTGGGTTCTACGTTCGGGCAGGTCTCATCCAACAGCGCCATCGCATCATTCAGATCCATGTAAGCCTTCCGAGGCACAACCTCCGGTGGCGGAGGCGGCGGCGGCGGCGGCGGCGCCCTCATGAACTCACCCTCGATGCTACTGTTCCTCGTCGAGCCGTTCAGGTCCAGCCTGCCGTCGACGTACAAGTACGAGGGGTACGAGTTCCGATCACCCATCGGCCCCGGTAACATGTCCACCGTCGTCGGATAATTCTCCAGATACCAAGGCGTCACGCAGAGGTCCTCCGGTCTCGTGGCAGGACTCTGCGGCGTCCCGATGCTCTTGCTGACGGCACCCTTGCCACCACTAAGAGTCTTCTGCTGTTGCTGTTGTTGTAGTTGATATTGCTGCTGCTCCTGCTGGTCCGTTCTCACGCCGCTGCTCGACGACGACACCGCCGTTCCATCCGCGCAAACCGACACCTCGTTGGATGCGCGGCTGAGAAACGGCCTGCGATAGCCGGAACAGGTAGCAAAGTGCGGCGGCGCCGGTCTCGCTGTTTCCACGACGACGCGACCCTGGGCACACGGCACCACCGGCTCTCCGTCTGCCGGTGCCTCCTCCGGGGTCAACGGCAGTGCCGCCCCGCGACCGAATTCGATGAACCACAGCTCGTCCCTCAACTCGTTTTCTCACTTCTTCTCGTTCATGTCTTTGTTCAAGTAGTGCAATACGTAGTGCAGGACCAGGTCGTAGCAGTATTTGTACTCCGTCTGAGAAAAAGAAACGGAAACACACCATATTTTCCACAAGCTGGGCTTTCCTGTGCCTGCGTACAGTTTTGACAGCTTGGAAAATGTCAACCTCGCCATGTTGAATGACCTCCGCAACTCCGACTTCTGCCATCGGGCGATACAAAATTTTCATCACATCTCTTACTTTTCCGTCCGAATTTAAGCAGCTCGGGAAAAAGTAAAGAGCGAAACGTGTCTCACCGCATGAAATTACGAAATATTATAATTGGAACAAAATGGAAAACAATTTGAAAGAGGTATTTGGACAATGGGAAAATTCACGTGAAATTTTGGCAAGTTTCATTATAATTCCGTTGCAAAACTTGTTCTATCGTAATCTGAGCAAAACGCACCATATTTTCCACAAGCTGGGGCCTGTGCCTGCGTACAGTTTTGACAGCTTGGAAAATGTCAACCTCGCCATGTTGAATGACCTGTTCTATGCACGCGTTGGCTGCACAATAGACTCCGCAACGACTTCTGCCATCGGGCGATACAACCGCTACCGGCCCGTAGTCCGTTCGTTGCCTCCATCTCTCGACCATATTCATGAGTTCGACTAAACTGTTGGTGGAAGTGGGCACTTTGTGGCCCATCGGCCAACAAGTCAATTGGAACAATTGCACGGTCTTCGGCGGCGCCTTCACTCCCGCCATCAGTTCAGTCAACGAGACGATCTTCTTGTTTATCCTGAAGACCTGGAAAATACGATCCGTAAACTCAAAGAGACTAATCAGACTGCGTGCTTTTCGCACCGGCATCGTACACGCGCAGGCTTTTGGGGAAATATTGCGGAAATTCGCACGTAAGGCCGCGAGAGTCTCCGAGAGAGTCGCTCGACGTCGTGGACGTCGTAAAATCCCTTTCGGGAGATTGAATCTTCACGAAAATCACGAAAATCACACCCTTCTCTCACCCAGGTTTTTATGTTGGTGTAATGATTGTGGCTGATGTGGTCGATCGTGAACACCGGGCCATATTTCTTCGAGTGCCTTCCCTCCGGCCAGAAGGTGGGGAAATTTGTCGAGCCCTGAGGCGGCACGCACAGCACCACCACTGCGGCGCATTCGTAGTCGTAAACCAAAGACCAGAATTCGCCGCACGTGTGCCGAAGAGGCCATTCCGTCACGATGTATTCCCTCGGTTTCGTGTATCCCTGCGCAGTACGAGTGGAGATGAATGTCTCTATAAAGAACTTGACAACGATCGGCGAATAGATCCCCGAATGTATCGATCCGTGGGGCAATACCTTCTGTGTTTCCGGCATTTGTCAGTCCTCGAGTCGGAATGATCGTTAATTATTCGCGAGATAACGAGTCAAACCGCACACGTGCGGGCAATGTGCATTGGATTTGAAAAGGCTGAAGAATGATATAGTCGGTTCTTATTATAGTGAATAATGTCTCTTTTAATTGTCGCGGTGACGAGACGGCGCGGCGACTGCACGCTTTATAAAAAAATTTTGTTAAAAGTTTCACGTTAATTGAAGAAGATAGTCTTTGTGTACGTGTGTATATACATATATGCGTGCGTGCGTGCGTGCGTGCGTGCGTGCGTGCGTGTGCACGTGAAAAATACAAGGAGCGAGCTAAAGATAAATGAGTTAAGTGGGTGATTTATTTCATTGGCTTACGTCCACAAAGACGGCGTTTATGTAATCCGTGAAACTGTTGCCCTGGAAGCTGGTGAGGTACGGTCGAAAGTTGTCCGCTGCAACAAAAGACGGGAAATCGATTTGTGTACGCGAAGAATGTCTGTTTGTCGGGACCGTCGGTCGCGGGCGAGCACGCGCGTTCCTCCTCTGAAATGAAACTCACGTGGAACTACCAGGACGTCTCTGTTCTTCTCCCTGTTGTCGGCCCTGTGTCCACCGGCACAGTCTCCGATCGTGAAACGCGGCGTCTGCTTGCAGATCTGTTGGTACTCCCGTTGATACTCGTTCATCTTGGTTATCTGATTCTTTATGCTCTTCTGCTTCAGTCGTTGCGACAACTCCGCCACGGGAAACCACGATGTGCCGCACACCACGTACTCCTCCAGCGTGTCGTATATGAATTTGTACTGTTCCTGCGTGACGAAAAATGGACCTGTTAAGATTAGAATTTACCAGCGCCGCGCGAATGCACAACTACGAGCCAGCTGCTAAGGCAAATAGGCAACGAGGGAGATTAACGATGAAAATTATTTCCTACAGTAATTATTATGAATTGGCTGAATTACTCAATACTACAATATTTGAATATTGAATATTACAAGTACGTTTACTACGGCTAAGAAACGATTCACCATAGATTAGGTGATTATTATTGAATATAATCGTCAATACAAATTACAAAGACAGACATAATTTTCATCATATCTGAGGCGTGAGAATTCTCCGATGTACGCAGACATTTTGTAGTATTCGATTGATGTTGTACCAAGTTCTCGATGAGTCCTCTTCTGCTCTGCCTGAGCTTCTTCAAGTAGCCAAACACGTCGAACGCGTCCTCCTCTTCAGCTAGTTCCATGTTTGCGTCTATCGCTAAATATACCCCCGATCGTCCGCCTCCGTCGCTTTGTGTCACACAAATAAGCAAGTTTATTATCCGACTTGCGAGTGCGAATTTGCGCCATTCACGTTTACATTGATAATTGAAACGAAAGTCTCCTTACTTGCAGTGAACGATCATAGGCCCGGGTTCGTTTGTTATCGTCGATCCTACAACCGCTCGTACTCGACGTCTAAATTCCAACACCGCGTTTCCGAACGGGCACGTGTGCGAGTGCCACTCTGTGTAATGAAATTGCAGCAACGTCCTTTCCTCCGTAACCTCCTGAAAGCGTTCGCGCGACGAAAGTTACAACGATTATTTTCAACGATAACGATCGTTCTCTCTCTCTCTCTCTCTCTCTCTTTCTCTCTCTCTCTCTCTCTCTCTCTCTCTCTCTCTCTCTTCTCCTCTCTTTCTCTACTCTCCCTTTCTACCCCTTTGTATTTTATCTCCCGCGTCTTATTTCCGCGCTCCGCTATAATTCTATTTCTCTCCATTTAAAAGGCGCGAGCGGACGAACGTTCTCTAAATTCGCGATTGGCGCGGAAACGCGGAGAATCGTCGCTTAACAAATTAACGGGGGCGCCTTTGTTGCACTCCTGCGCTCGGGCCGAGTTACCTCGCCGTGGAAGATTACTTTCCAAGGGGGCGAGCAGCTTCTCCTACATATTGTTATCGCAACAATGCCGCGTTAAAGCCGACAGTTGCAGTCGCATCTTGGGCTAGCCGGTGCTGCACGTTGCGGCACATTGAGGCGCTCCGTAACGCCTCACTCGCACTTTGCTATTCCCGGAATGGGGTTACGGCTCCCTTCCCCCCTTTCTATATTAAATTTCGCCCGGCCGGTAAATCTCGAGAGTAATTATTCCGTAGCATCTGCCTGTACAGTTCGTGCGCCAGAGAGTCGCGCACGCCGACCGGTAAGTACGTATCCCGCGCGAGTCGTTAATAGTCTTACGCGGAAAAATGCTGAGCACGAGAGAAGCGACAGGTCTTAACGAAGTGTCACGCCTCGCCACTTGCCACTTTCTCGTCACGCTATCTGTCTCGCATGGCTACAAGTTATGCTGTCGTTAGCGACGATAAACGTCCGCGAATAAACGATAAACGCGACTGTTTGCGATCAGATTACCGTACGAGGATTACCGTGCGATCGGTTGCGACTTCTATTCAGAGTGAAGACTCGCAGAAGCGAATTAGAAAAAAGATATGTTCGAGGATATGTCGGATGGACGTTAACGGGACCTCGTGTTTCCATTCCGTCTTCTCATTCAATACACGTTTGTCTCTCAGTCTATTTTACTCGTATACGTATAAAATAAAAATCTTTCATTATAAAATAACATCGAGTGCAAGCTAGAAGAATAACGACCCGTTCTTGGCGCGACGCAACGTGCAGCTTAAAAAGAATATAAAGTCGAAGATTACAGACACGGTCGGGGAAAGAGGGAGGGAGACGGTCACGCGGGGAAGCAGCTTTAAAGTCCGGGAGGAGATAACAGAAAAAAGGCTCAACGAGAGGACTAAGTAACGATGCCGGTGGTGGTGGAATCAGATCCGAAGCGGCTCGGAAGAGCTTTAGAGAGTTCCCGCAATTGTCGTTCTTCGTTCTCGCAGAATAAAAGTGCAATTAAATTAGCCGGCCGTAATGGCTCCTCGAGCGAACTTATCGCGACCGTTTATATCGCAGCGACGCTTTTATGTATCGTTTCGCATTCAAGCGGCGGCCAGCAAAATGACGGAAGGCCGATACGAGCTGGCTGTACGGTTAATTTCGCCAACTTTTTCACCAAGTTCAGCTCACCGATCATTTTCCGCCTCGCGACCGCCCGCCCCGTCCGTTCCTGGCAGCGCTTCGAGATCTCGCTACTCCGGCACGGCCGGGGACGGGGACAAGTTTCGAGTTCGCATGAGTTCGTCTTTGGTCGCCAGTACCTACTGTATTATCGAGTTGTAGTCTCTACTTTACTTGGCGCGAGCGTCTCGCGCGAACGGAAATTTTCCGGCTAAAAAGAAGGAGAATTCCTAACGATCGTCGGGGACGCGGGATTATCCGGGATGATCTTCGCCGACGTGGCCGCATTCGAGCTATTCTGATTTATTCAGGCCTGGATGTATACACGAAAATATATTCCGGATATATTCACGGACGATATCCACGGCGGATTTGCGGCGTCGTTCGCGTTAACGATGACAAATGCGAATTTCTTTTCCCCCGCGAACTCGCGATTAGAGTCCGAACCTGCCGTGTACGCCACTGCGTATCGCGGATCGATCGGCGCGCGAAATGGCAACGCGTATTCCCGCCTTCCTTGCAAATATTGAATTTATTTGCGTGTTTGTTCAACGCGCGCGGTACCACGTCACTATGTGCGTCGAGAGCTATTAACCCGAAAACAGGTTTGTTCGAAACAAAAAGCGAAGAAAGGAAAAGACTTTCGCGCTCCACTTTGATCCCAGATCTCATTTAAATTCGATATCGCGAAAGGCGTAGCAAGTCCGCGGCGTACACAACAACGTTGCAGAAGGGAAGATGGAAGAAGAAAAGATAACAAGAAAGAGAAGTAATTCGCGGCGGCAATAGTAAAAATGCACTCACGTCGTTTTCGTCCTTCTTGTAGAGCTTTATCGTCCTTATGTGAAAATTGGCGAGCTCCTCCTCTTTTAAAACGGAAACGCCGATCCCTCCGTACTCCTCGTCTTTGTCTTTGCTCGCCGGCCAATACTGCACACACATCACCTGCAAAAGAAGGGAACAGAGGGAAAGTATGTGTGAGTCGCAGTTGAGAAGCATCGGAGCGATGTAAATCAAGTATTTATACAGTGGACTTTAAGCTTAAAGCTGACACTAAGCTGACTCGCGGTCAACGTCATCTCGCGCGCGCACGCGCGCGATCGCGCCACCAAGCGCCAAAGAGCGCTCTTTGTGCGCTGCTGTAACTTTAACCGGCTATTTTTCGAGTCCCCCTCGCTGTCTTTCTCCCCTCTTTGGCGCGTTTTATTTTTTATTTGCAAATGATCTTTCCCTCGACGACTATTTACCCTAATAAAGTCAAAGGTTTTCGTGAGCATAACGATGCAGGAAGCTTGCTCTTGCCAGACCATCCGCCAGAATTCCGTCACCGTGTTCTCCATAGGTCCCTGAGTGACGATGTAAGCGTTCGGCTTCAATATACTCTGAAACGCAGTATTGATATCGACCTGTAATTGTACGCCTCGGTGCGCCATTAATATTCGCCTTAGTCTACCGTGCGAACGGAATAAGCAGTTTGCGATCGCGCTTGTCACGACGCGAGAGAGAGAGAGAGAGACGCGAATTCAGATTTCAGCGGTCGACGCCGACGGAGAACGGAGAACGGGGAGAACGGTAAGCGGCGAGCGCAGAATCGCGTCCCGCGATTTTGGCTTTTGCGCGGGAATATGCAAATTCGCATCGTCCACAATTGCATTACATGCGGATCGGTTACATGCGATTCGGGCAACGCGATTTCGAGCGCGCTTCATTTGCCAAAGGCCTTCGCGCGTGTTATTCGGTATATGCAATACTTATTTCTCTCGCCGGCTGTTCGATCGTGATGTATACTCACATCTACATAGGAGGCATTAACGTAATCGGAATCGGGCTCGCCTTCTATCGTATCCAACACTACTCTATTATAGTCATCTAGAAAAAAAAAGACAGAACAGAGAGGGTAGAGTACAATTTGGTACACTGCCGCGGTAGAATCTTGCGCCTGTACCGCGCATCGGAAATAGATCCTCGTTAACGAAACGGCGCGCCGTTTGCGATCGCAGCCACCTTGTGACCACCGTGATTTATTTTCACCGTCGCGAGAAAGTTAACTAACGAAAACCCGAGGAACACGGTCGTCGAATGATCCCTGAGACACATTCAGCTCGCCGACGCGACGCCAAGAACGTCGCTCGAGATTTTCTAATTTCCTTCTTTTTTCTGACCTAAGCATCTCTAATTATGGTGATGACGAGTCGTCGTCGCGTGGATTGCGACGACGACGTGACTATTTCGAAAGTGTGCGCGCTCGTTCTCGCGAATAATTACAAGTGGAGTAGACGCTTGTTACGCGGCTCTTCATCTTTCGTCTTTCGTCGTCGAATCGGCGTTTGATTTCGTCGTGCGTGCCGTAATCAGCGCGATTCTCTTCCGGACGGAAGAAGAAACGGGGGCGTCCGCGTGACGATATAATAAGAAGCTGTCGATCGACGAGTACCTACACGGAATACACCTTTGATTCTGATTCTTCTCTTTGTTCCCGGGCTTCGTGGCGTGCCGGCACGAGTGCGTCTCCACCTTCGTCGCCGTCTGCAACACAAGAGAGGCGTGAAATTGAAATTGCAATACCATAGTCCGAAATTAGTGAAATAACGGGACGCGAAGAAAGTTCTGGTGACCTGAACTCAGCGTGCCCTACTCAGCGTAAACGCGGACGCGCAGCTGATTACGCTTCACGTTGACCGTAACCAGCCATGCGGCCGATGTTGCACATTTAACGACTTTTCATTATTACTCGTAACCGAAAGAGATTTAATTACAGACATTACGCTACGTCACTGGACCGTTATTTATCATCGATATTCTTAGCATGGATATATTGGTAGCGACGGATCGTCGGATCCGCGCGTCCCAAGCACAAACCATCTGTGATGAATCGGAGATCCGTGCGGAGTTACACGATTAAAAGAGTAGACGGAAAAAGGACGACGGATCTCCGCGAGCAGACGAACACGCCAGCAGACGAAGTTCTTAAATATGAATTTCTCCGGCACATTAACGACTTATTTCTGCAATAAAGCTGATGGTTAATTATGCAGGATAAAAGTCCGCTTAGACTCTTGTCAGAGGCAAAAATCTTATCGCCCGACGGAAAGTTTCACGATAACCATATTGCGCAAGGCAGTTTCCGCCGCAGATAGCGCGGAACTCGAGCTTTCTCGTGATTAAATGCATAGAAATGCATAGAAATGAGCTCGATAGTTCTTATTCTCGCGCGTGCTCCCCGCGATCATCTTCGATTCGATCGGAATTATGAGCGACGATTGCACTTTCAGCGCGGTTAGTATGAGCGTTCGCGCGTATATGTACATGATACACGCGTGTGTAAAAGCATACACGCAAGTTTCCGCGTAGTTTGCCTCGGCAACCTAGCGGTAGCCTGCAGCGTTTGACATTCGGCAAATGAGAAAAGTTACGCGACAACCGCGTTCTGAGCACGTGTCGCATTATTTGGCTCAACTCGGCGGCTCATTCTCGCGCATGTTTCTCAAGAGCTCGTCTCGTCTCGGCGAAGCATGCTCGTTCGAGCGATCTGTCATTATCGACTTTTGCACATGTGGTGCAACTACACCGTAGGAAGGGAAAGTAAGATAAAGATGGAGGAGCGCTTCGGTTATAATAGTTATCATTAGCGTCTCGCTGGTTGATTGAAATCTGGTTAATTAATGCGGGCGGTCCGCATAAAAACGCGTGCGCGCGCGACCATCGGCCGAAAGTTTTTCACATATTCCGTTAGCGCCGTTCACGAATACGTATGACGCTTTATTTTTCGTCGGTATTTGTCGAACATCGGCTACCTTCATTTCCGATAATACCGGGCAGGTTTAATTTAAAAATCACGCCGGGATGATTTTCGCGTCGCTGCACCGGCCGGATTAAAATTCAACAGCGACCGTCCGCCGCCGCCGCCGCCGCCGCCGCCGTCGCCGTCGTTATCGCCGTTCTCTCGTCCCCTTTATTTTCGTCCTTCTTCTCTTCGCCTCCCACCCTGCGCCCTCCTCGTCCTTATCCGTAGACAGTTCGCTAGATTTTCCCGATTATCGGGAAATAATGGCGTCCCCCTTCGATGAGACGCGAGGATCCGCGTCTCGTTGGCCATTTTCGGCCAACGTATAAAAAAGGGAGGACTGCTCTCTCGTGAGTATCCTTCGCGATTACGGACATTGGAAGGAACCGGTGCCGCGAGGACATCGGATACCCCGGGACAATCCGTCGGCGTATAAACTGCACTCGAAGCCCGGCATACGTCGTGCATACTGCACGAGGGGCACGATGGTTAAGAGCTTTCTCGTGTCGTCGGTGGTGAATGTGCTCGCTCTCGACGTATTTAAGAAGCGCTTATCGCGTGTCGCCCGAATTTTTCGGCAGGCTCGGGGCTATCTCTTTTAAAGTTCCTCGAGACGTAAGACTCCTTCGCGTTACCTCGTTCGACGTCTAAAACTGAGCGATCAAAGCTCAGAGCGTGTTAGCTCAGAGAAAACAACGTCGAACAACGTTGGAACTCATTAAGCGAAGTCGCTGTCGGATTTCTTGCAGCGAGCTTCGACGACTTTTCGTGCGGCCAAAAGTTCGCGTTGTCGTAAATACGACTCATCGGTGCGGCTAAATTAAGCGAACAGCGAGGATCATCAGCCTGTGAGAAGAGCAACGCGGTGTGTGTCAGGTGCTTCGGTTTTGCATAAACGTGTTAGACGCGCGCGAAAAGAGCCGCGCGGCTCATCGAAAGGACATTTCCTCTTGACGTCCTGTGCGTCCCGCCTTGTTTTATGAAAATATGGAAATCATAGAGCACGACGCGCCCACGCGAGAACGTCTAAATCCGATCCATTAGCGCAGCTGACATTTTTCAGAGCAGCGCGTAGACGGGGGACAAATGTTTCTTCTCTCGCGAAACAAAGGATGTAGATCGATTTAACCCTTCGGTGGAAAAGGACGTAAAAGAGCACTAGGTAAAATATGTAGATATCAGTCGCGACCCCTTGTGCTTCTCGGTCCACATCCAGGCGTAGAGCAGGATAGAAACGCGTGGCGATCTTGTCGAGGCCGCGAAGAAGAGAACGGAGATCAGACCGGATGGATGTCGTTCTCTAAGGCGTTGCAGTTAAGAATCCAATTGCGTCTTATCACCGGCGCGGAGCTCTTTTATTTCCCTCGCGCTGCGTGCACTTTGCATAATAACGGAAACAGTAGCTCGGAAAATACGAGCGCTCTGGAAGGATTTCGCGACCTTTCACAGCAATACCTCACTCACAGCGATACGCGCTCAGCTTTAACATTTGTAATTATACACGAGCAAGTCCCTCTTAATTTAATTATAAACAGATATCGTTTCAAAAGTCGAGCGGCTTGTGTGTAATCTTACGCATATCCGTTTTAAGATCATTTTGAGAGGAACATTCGTCTACTGATGAGCGAACAGTTTGTGGCTTATGATGTCTCAAAGTGTCTTAGTCGAGCGCGAAATCGAAATTTCGGCCACGTTTAGTGTTTGAAATGATTGCGAGAGACTCGAGTGGCTTAGGACGACAAGATGCCAGTGTCGTCTTATCACAAGATAGAAAATCATATTCTCGCGGTAATGCGACTTAGTAGGTCGTCGTCAGTCGAACTATCTCGGTTATAATCGAGCGATTATGCATTCGCGAGATTTGCCAGTATATCTTCGCGCACCGCAGAATTCGCCTCTTGAAGCGGCCATCACCACGAGAAACCGATATTATCCCGCCGAGTCGCGATTTCTCGATCTATTCCTGAGAGTGTAGCTTTGTCTCTTTGGCTGTCTGCCTATCCGCGAGAGCGCCGTAATACCTACAAGTATGCCTACGCGCAGCACATATGTACATAGAAGCAGCTACGTCACGTACTTCCGATGTATGTACCCATCAACGTGCAAGCAAATAGACTTATCCCGTCATCTAACAAAACAATCTAACAATATCGATCAGTGTTTGCCTTCAATTCCAGAAGTATTAGAAAATATTTGTAATACGCTCGCTTGTGTGGTCGGAAAACTGCGGTACTTTTTCAATTTACAATCGCATAAAGAAATCCCATTTATTGAGTCGAGTATTATAAACAGCGCACCGACGAAAATGGCAAATATATTTATTTTTTTCGAACTCGCGGAAAGAGTCGATAAGTTGTTTGTTAGTCAGAAACATAGACTACATTATATTAACAACAGGAGAACGCACATATGTATATATATCAAATTAAACTCCTTTGTAAAATACTGCACATGAAAATAGATTTAAGAGAAAAAAGAGGAAGAGAGAGAGAGAGGGGGAGAGAGAGAGGAAAAGGAAGAGAATGCAAGTTATTTATGATTCGACCCAATAAACACAATTGCGCGATTGAGCGTACTCTCGTACGGGCGAACGATTTTCCAATTATAAGATTTAATGGGTTATTACTAATTTTTGATTATTAACGATCGATAGCACATTGAAACGAAGAACACTCGTGAAAGTTGGCGAAGTGAAAAAAGCGAGAGCCCGTCGGGACGAAGAGAGAAAGAGAAAGGTGACCAGAGTTAGATGAGTAGGGAAATGGGTTTTACTCGGGTCTCACCTGAAACTCCACCCGGTATAGCACCGGGTATTTTCGGCGTAGCTCGCACAGCTTCGGGAACTGCGAAAGCTCAGTCGGCGCGGACGGCAAGGTGGTGCTCATGCTGCTTCCCAATTCCTCCGTGGCTGTGAAACAGACGGAGAAAAATTACTGGCTACTATCGGGAATGCTGCTGTTAACGACGTTATTCGTAAATTATTGGTCGAACTGTATTCCATAATCTTCCATTTTCTTCCGAGCGGTTCAAGCGCGCGATAGTACCGGCCATTCTCTGGCCAGAATGCTTAATACATGCTACGATCAGTAAGTTCATTCGAGAAACTCGTAACGCACCCGGTTATGCATTTCCTGCTTTGTATTTGCAATTTGATTCCCGTGACTCCGTATTACCGTGTTACGCCTCCAGCAAAACCGAGGAAAATCGCGAAAAAGGCCAATGCAGCCTCCGATCTACGATAACCTCGTCCCATAGATGAGCGCAATGTTGCGATGTTGCACACGGATTTAAATACAACGATCTATAAGGAAGGAACGCGCGAGTGAATGCGAGCGTTTCGCCGGTGAACTGTGAATCGCTCGTTCGTCCGTCGCGATTTCCCGTCGTTCGCAGAGAGACGAATCTCTCGGGGGTAGAAAGACGAATGGAAAATGTGGTAAGCCAAGATGCGGTAAGCCAACCGGAGAGGACGAGACAAACCGCTACTTCACTCGAGAAAATTTGCAGCTGCTTGTCACTCCTTGCACGTACACGCACACATACGTACGTACGTAGGTATGCACGATCTCCTGAGACACGTGCGCGCACCACATTGCTACTCGTACGGCCACGTACATGTGTACCACGCTCTCTCTCTCTCTCTCTCTCTCTCTCTCTCTCTCTCTCTCTCTCTCTCTCTCCCTCCCTCCCTCCCTCTCTCTCTCTCTCCTCCCTCTCTCTCTCTCTCTCTCTCTCTCTCTCTCTCTCTCTCTCTCTCTCTCTCTCTCTCTCTCTCTTACTATCTTCTACTTCCCCATCGAAATTATTAATCCACGGAGAAGCACGAAATCTGAACTGCCTGGTTGAATATGGATATTAACGTAACGATTTCCGACGCTCTCGTAAAATTTGGAGGTAACTTTCAGAAATTATCCTAATTAACTCTCGCCATTCTGGTACAATAAAGTCGAGTGTGTGATTAACATTCGGGAGAACTACTGTAATAAGGATCGGCTACCTCTTGATTCTTTTAAGCCGGAACTATAGGGTCGGAAGCGTAGGAAGTAAAAATATTCATGACTCGCAGAGCGCTTCATGTCGAAACTTTGATGCTACATTACTCTGACAAATTCCGTCGAATTTGAAAAATCATTGGAGAATCTAGAGCTATAAATAATGTTATACAACCTATTGGCCTATTCTGATGATATAAATGATCATTTAATGTTATTTTTTTCATATTGAATTGTCTAAAAAAAGACTTATTTTGGAGTTATTTAATATTTATTTACCTCTATGGAAGTATTTATCTGCTTCAAGATTCTGTTTGCGTTTTGTATTTATTCTTAATTTCAATAACAAATATATTTCATTTCAGATTATATTAAACTCGGATTATATGTTCACTCGGATTATGTTAAATAATTTACTTAAGGGGATTGGAGGGTCAGATTGCTGAAAAATCGTGCTTGTTTTTGACAATATTTTGCGATGAACTGAATAAATGTGCAAGAATGAAAATTTTAGGTATATTTATGAATATTTATGAATTAACATATGAAGAGTAGAAACATTTTGTTTATTAACAAATACTCATATAAATATACGATATATATAGCTGAAATATACTCTCCTTTTTTTTTTCAAGTTGTTGTTTCTGCAGTAATATCTCGGCTCTCGGTGGTCCGATCAGAGCGAATTTTAGCTAGAAATCTTAAGGAGGCTTATCATTATCCGGTGAAACACTACAAAAAAAATCGAACAACATTAACAAAATGGCAGCTATTATTAGGAAAAAATTCAAATTTTTCAATTCTTTTACAATAAAAAAATTAATATCTCGAAATGAAATATTTTGACGGAGTTGTCCATGGTTCACCTGAGAGCCAAATGAACAAATATTATTGCTTTAAAATTTCAAATCGATACGAGGCTTAGTTTCGGAGAAATCACTGCAAAAAGTTGAACAATAAAATTTCGAGAGAAACGCGTTTAAAATTTAAATGGACGTATATTTATATGATTATTTGTTAATAAACAAAATTTTTCTACTCTTCATATGTTATATAAATATACCAAAAATTTTCATTCTTGCATATTTATTCAGTTCGTCACAAAATATTATCAGAAAACAAGCACGAATTTTCAGTAACCTGACCCTTCAGTCAGATTATCCCTTAACTCCAAATAGAATATGTACAATAAGCAAAAATTAAATAACCTAAGCAATATTAATGGGTTTAATATGTTTCTTGTTAATTTTATTATTATTTATTTTTCTGTTGCCGCTGGAAATGTACATATACATATTAAGATTATTTGATTCAACATCTTTTATAGGTCATTTTGTTGTACCATCGCGTATACTAACCCATAGCAGACGTACAGATACAAATCAATGAGGAAAACGCATGTTAATTAACGCGATGGCGTCGAGAGACTAATTAAACATGCCAAGCGCCAGCGCCAGAAACATTTTGTTGCAAATCGAACACTCGGTACGGGGAAATACACATCGTACGGCAATATCGAAACGATACGCAAAAACGCTACGCATACTGCGTCAATCGCTACTTGTCCCGCTCCACCATTGAAAAGCCGTGTGTTGATAACAACTGCGCGGACCTTCAAGACGGTCAAAGCTACCTACGTGCGTCACGTGTATTTTCCGAGTATTTTCAGTACGTTTCAAACCGCCGAATGACATACATATCGCGAGCTGCGTGTATCGGCTTACATTATCATTTCCCTCGGATGATTACAATATTTCATCGGCCATTGAAATATTTAATCAAGCTGTCGTAATCAAGCTATCGCGTTATTTAACACGTGTGTCTTTGATTGAACCGAGTACAGTATTCTCTACGCGAGTGTTAGTGCCACGACAGAGCAATCAAGATGCTGAGTTCAGAAATCAGGATAACGGACGCAAGACGTCATGACGAGGACAACAATACATCATATATTTCCAGGTATATCGAATCATGTATTGTACAGGCGATATTTAACAGAGGTTTTAACAGAGAATTTGACGAATTTATCGAGAGTAAAGGAATATCGCGCTCGAAATTGCGCTCAATATTCATAGTCTTTCATCAATTGACAAATAATTGTAACTTCATGAATCTTCGATTATTAATCAACATATATTTGTGCTTATTATTTCATACAAGAAACATTGATCCAAATACCAGTATAACGGTTCATGAATGCGAATCTGTAATTAATTATGTTCCTCATTAAAGAGCCGTAAATAATTTACAGCTATGAGTACACTAGCCTTAGAATCTTATGTAAATTTCGCAAGTACTGATTTTTATGTTTAATAATCTTTTTTAGGCCGCGAATCCAATTTTGTTAATATGTGCCAGTACCTAATTTTTCTTTCTGTTTAGTCTCGATATTGTGCCAAATTGAAATTTATATCATTATTGATAAATATTAATTATTTAATGTTTCATATACTCGATTTGTAGTTGAGTAACTTATATAATTATGATACATTATTGACTGAAATCAAGGATAAAACTAAATTCAGGGTAGAATATTGAGAATGTAATTGAAGAATATAATCGAGTATATTAAATAACTGAATATCATTGACATACATTTTAATGTACAACCAAAGTTTGAACTCGAGTATATAATAATATGTGGTCAAAAAAAAAGGAAAAGCAGAAAAATTAATCATATTTAAAATATTCAAAATAGTCTCAAGACACGAAAATTTATGTAAAGAGGAGTTTGTTGATAATTTCCGATGACTCGTCGCGTGTTGCCTCCAGTCATTTCGAATTGGAAGTGATGAATTCTTGCTATTGACAGTCAAAACGTGAAAGCAATTTACAGAACTTTGCTGCAATGTTGACGTCCAGCACGCGCATACGCGATGATTTGCTCGCAGCTCGCAAATTCTCAACCGCGCGTAATACCAACGTTTGATACGTAGATTTCACAGTTGAAAACTGAATCGATTAAAAATATGACGGAAGTCACTCGATAATCTCGATAGCTCACGCGAAGAATGTCGATCGTTGTGAAAGGAAAAAAGCTGAAAGCGAAATTCATGTCCTGTTGTACACGTGCACTCTCGAACATGTGCACTTTCGATAAGAGCATCACTGCGTGATGCTCTTATCGAAAGAAAATAACTAAAGCAGCATCGTTAAGATAACTTGTATTGTGATTCTACGACGATGCTCTGTGTTTGCCCGCGAATTGTTTGGTCTCTAAATCGAGTCCCGTGCGAGTCCTCGCGCGTATAATAAGAGCAGTTTAATAAGACCGAAATTAATTCTAATGCGACGTCCAATAAAGCGGATTGGGTTCTCCAATTACCCGGCATACTTGTAGGTATGTGGTGCCAGCTGTACGTGTATGAGTGCAACAGCCTCATTACCTTTTGTCTCTTCCGGCTACAAGAAACTGCGCTTTGCACACGTACACGTAAACAGCAACGCGACTGTTTCAGTCCTCTGTCAGCTTTGGTTCGTTGTGTTAGCGCGGTTACGACGACAATACGAAAGACATTCGGACTGTGTCTTCGACAATATGACGATATCACTCGGTCCAACAGATTTGCCAAACAATCGAAATAATTTGAAGCTCGAATTTCCGGTGTGCGAGGATATCAAATATTTTGAATACCCTTTCCTGGACGAGGAGAGACGGTCGTCGTTACGCAACAAATTTGAGAAATGCACGAATTTGGTGTTGCGTGTTTGTTGCGCCGTTGTTTCCTGTCGGAACGGTGCAACATGTACGGGAAATCGGTGTATGAATAACGGCGGCCCACCACACTTCTCTATGCCGAAGCATAGGGAGGTAAATGCGCGCGCGCGCGCGCGCGCGTTGATGGTTGTTTATCAGTTCGAATTTATCGGCAAGGCATATCTATTATTAGACGCATGTATACACACGCACTCGCGC